ATTCATTGAGGTAGGAGGTGTCCAACCAATTAGAATCGCGCGCCAGGCCCATTCATCGATAGATTTGATGAACATCTTCATCCTTATTTTCCAATCAGAGTAGTTCAATTCACCCAAGAGAGGTGGTAGGAATGCGCCTTCACGATGATTATTCATGTCTGCACAAAAAAATAAAAAAATAATTAAATCCCAAAATCTCACTAAGTGTATCTAGTGACAGGCTCTTGATGCCAATTGTTAGAATTTATTTCGTGCAGATATAAATTATTTGTGTCAGATTCAGTTTTTCGTTACTGTTGCGTGAAGTGTTGCAACAGTTCGTGAAACAGTTCGTAAAAACAGAAATAAACGAGACACAAATTTTAATGTGGTTCGGATACAACTGTACCCTACATCCACGGGGACCTGCAAATACAATTTACTAATTTTTAGTTTTACGAATACAATATTAGGACTTAATCAAAATACAAAGACTCCCTCTTTGTTGACGCCGTTCTTGTATACTACGCTGAATTATAAATCTTCAATTTGCAGCACGTCCCTTGCTCCGCACGGTTGAACTCCCTTCAACGCTGAATCCCTCAGTCGGCGGATCGATCTCCTCCCGAGATCTGTTTAAGCCCCTCTCCCGAAGAACCGATCTTCTTTTTGTATAGAAGAAGCAAACTTGTGATACTCCTTGAATCTTGGTGTCTTCACCACAAAGCCTTGAAGCCGGTATATGTTCTATGAAAATCACGTATCACGATGGAGCAATAAAAACGAGAGCAAATAATAATTTCTCTGTGAATTTTTCTCTCGATAAAAAAGACGCTTGAAGAGCGACACAGAAAAGAGAAAATCTTTCTCTCCAAAAAAGCCGCACGGCACTAACGTGTATTTGCTCCACTTTTATAAGCCTGATAAAGAATCCTACAAGAGTCCAATTCAAAATACGTATCAGGCATATTAGGATATAAATCTTATCAAAAGATATTAACTCCTATTCAAACACTAATTCCCAAATAAAATAATATCACAATTAATGACAACATATAAACCAATGGAAACCACTTCTTCTTTTTTCAATAAAAAAAACACACGGCAGTTTATATGGCAACATGAAGACTTGTTGCCCAAGACTTTGAGAATAATTAGACTCCAATTTTGATTCTAACAATAGGAGACCTGCACACAAGAAAGTCTTGGGTTAAAATAAGAATAACTCTTTAGAAGAATAATTCCTATTATAAATCAATTAATGACAAATTAAAAGAATTAAAAGCTACAAGGACTCTTCCCTTCTTTAGCTCACGGTATATGAAAACTTGTGGCACAAGTTTTATTAATTCTCGTACAATTAGAATCCATAGGATTCTAACAGTAACCGTCACGGTAACTGGATTCTCCGAGCACAACGCATTTGTTGCTTTTGTGCATTTGACCTGAAATAGATAAATGTACATAAATAATTGATCGCTTAAAAATCACAATATATGTAATTAAATTTTTGAGGGTTAAAATTTCGAACCACGTAATAAAGAAATATTATAATCTTAATTTTGGATATATTTTTTTATCATGAAATTTAAATCAACATTGTAGTGAAAAGAATTTAATTAAAATCAATTATAAAAAATAAAAATAATAATAATAATTTAATTAACATACCTGATAACAAACCCCACAACCCTTTCCAGATTGGAATATATTTCTATTTCCTGCAGCTGTCATGCCATTGTATGGAGCATATGCCACGTCATTTTCAAATCCACAAGCTCCCCCTGCAATATATATATATATATATATATGCTCAATATTGTAAGTATTACATATAACTTCTTATTTATTTATTTATTATTCTAGCAAAAAAAAAAAAAAAAAAAAAGATTAAATTGGTATTTGTAAAAGTTTTTTATGAATCAGAAGTTGATGAGTGTGAGTAAATTTTTGAATAATTGCTGAATTGTCTTACGAAAACCCTCTGATTCAATAGGTAAACTTGACACCGTAAATGTAGACGCATAAAACAATACATAATCGATGGGCGGCTGTAATTCTCCAAACAAAAATGATTTTTTTTTTTTTGCGTAATTTAAGGCAAAAACAATGTTGCATATCAATTATTCTTTAAAATTATGTCTCAAGACAACTTATAATTTCAAGAAATATTATTTTTGCAAATGCTAAAAAATAAAAATAAAAAATAAAATAAATAAAAAAGTTTATAATTGTTTTAATTACCACTTCCAGGCCCTGTGGGGCTATCGTACCATGTAGCCACTCCAGCAGAAAAACCATTTAAATGTGAAGTACCATTTATTATTTGTGAAGCCATGCATACACAATTGTTTAATTGGATAAATAAAATAGCTATTATTGTAAATAAATTAAAAATTCGAAACAATTGATCAGAGGTAAACATTGCCATGGATATTGATTTTGAGAAACCAATACTATTATTATATTATATATTAAAAAAATATAAAATGTAAATGAAATAGTTTGGTGCCTTTGATCCATGTCTTGCCTTGATTTATATACTGTTTAGAATTTTAATTGTTACCTTTCTTTAAATTAATAAAAATAAAAATAGTTACCATATATTTGATTAAATTAAATTAATCTAGTAAATATTTAAATATTTTGGATATCAAGATAAATGAATAATCATAACTTACTATTTATTCAGTAATGCTTGCAATTTTTCTGAAAAAATGGAAGTAATATATAGCTTGAATTTTTTTAAATTTACTATTTATTTCCTTACTTTATTTAAAAAAAAATTAAAAAGTATGCGGCCGAAAATATAATTTATTTTTGACTTATAATATGGAAAGAGAGTTGGATGTTCGTAATATATTTTCAAGTTCCATGTAAGTATGTAACATGATTAGTTGCTTACATAATTGATTGTGTCATGATTGGATCGGTTCAATTTGTTCGACCCAAAAATTTTAACTTTTTTTTTATAGTTTAATTATTTATATGTAATTTTAAGCCGATTTTTAATAAAAATACATTTATGAAACATTAAATATCAATATATTATCAAGCAATAATTTGAAAAATATAATTCAATTCACTAACCCTCCAAGTCTCCAACCATAAAATTGAAATAAACATATTATTATTATTATTATTCTAAAATTAATTGAAGACATAAATGTAATTAGAAAACCAAAATTAATTAATATACTATAGTCTACACCATGTTATATTTTAAGAAAAATCTCTTATACACCCATATGTGCCTACTTACTTACGAATAGGTCTAGTACTAAATCACATTTACCTAAATGAACGGACAAAATTCTCAAGTCTATCAAAGAAAAGAATGCCGCTCAAATTCTAATTTACTCTCAATTTCATCGATCAAATCCTAATTTAACCTTAATAAACCAATTTTGTATCAAACACTATCCTCGCTGTTGACTTTTTTTTTTTACCAGTCAAAAGCATAACAATATATATATATATATATATATATATATATATGTGG